AAAAAAAGGAAAAGTGTGATGGGAAAATATCATTAACGAATTTGTGATCTTTACTACAACGAGGATTGTAATTCACAAAATCGTTTTCTGGACTTAAACCAATGAACGAAAATAGAATCGAAGAATAGAAATAAAGCGACAGATGTAGTCATGTTTTTACAACTGAACCAATTGATATGTTTCAAAATACCTTTGTAATGTATTAAAAGAAGTTTGCATGTGATATCAATTTCAGTTTAATTGTTTAGTCTTTGATTAGGGTTTTCGTTTCTATTTAATGTCGTAGAAAGCTATGGAGCATCTGGTTTCCTGCTTTGATCATATGCTATTTATGTGTAGGGTTCCCAAAAGCCAACAACTTTGTTTCCATCTTCTGTAGTTCAAACAAAAGTTCACACTGATCTACTACTGAGTTGAGTAGGGCTGACAGAATAACCAGTTTCAACATTAACTAAGAGTGCAACAACAGCATATGTAAGAAGCAAAGTGGACTGCAGTGCAAATAGGCCATATATAATTCAGCAATTCAATTGTTTCCGTCCAAATCCAATACTATATGGTGCTTTTCTCAAAGTATGTCTCCATCACGCCAAGTATTTGCCACATCCATGGCTCCCAAATGAAACAAATTGGTATCATTTGCTTAACTTCTTAGCTTTCCACGATCAGCTTCAGTTTCTAAGAGTGAGGTCCCCAGTTTTGTTAATAATTCCTCTCCATTTTTAATTGAAATTTTCATTTTCCCGACTGATATTTTATTAAATAAATAGAGATGAAACGAAACCAGACAATTTCAGTTTTTTTAAAGGCGTGATGCAAATTACGTTGCAAGTTCGTTCATATCAGCCGTGCGCTCTTCTACTTTGGGTCTTACCATTTTGAAGCACCCGCCTGCTGAAACCCAACCTCTCTTGGCCAGGGATATGCGTTGGACGTAGCTGTTTCTCCTGCTTTTTAGCAGTCTTCCTTTGTAACCAAAAAAAAAAAAAAGAGGTATGTAACTCCGTGTGGGTATTAGATAAATCGCTAGAAATTTATAGTATTGGTTAAATCTCTAGAAACTGCTGGCATTATATTTCCGGTTGTGGTGTCTTGTATAAATATCAATATTATGTGAAGCAGAAATTCAGGGCAAAATTAATGAAGTTTCCTCTTTTCTCTTAACTTTGTTATTTCTCTTCTTTAGCTTAGTTTATGCAGATTCTGCAAGTTAATAATAGTGGGAATTAAATGTATTTCTACAATATATATATATATATATCTCCTTATTCTTTGATTGGGCTTCATGAAAAGAAACAATAGTCTCAGACTTCCCTCAACTCTGTTTTGGGTCATCAAGAAACTTTGTTGATTTAAACGTGTCAAACACCCGCAAACTTCAAGTTGCTTCTACCCTCTGTCTCCCACCTTACAGCTCTGTGACTGGTAATTTTCATTTGTGAAAGCTCCATTGGACTGAAGCCATAGTTTTAGAATTACGCGAAATCCACACACATATATATAGCCCAAGTATGAGCAAGCTACACTTAAAGAATTCAAGGGCCCAAGTAATCCCCCAACAAACTAGCACTTTGCGATGAGATTGAGAGTCCAAGCAACTAAATCCCCCATTCAGATATACTTTAGGTAAAGTCCCCACAAAGGACGACCCTGTGTCCATCAAGTACCAAGGACCACGTGCACTGCACGTGAACTCTGCAAATCCATATCATGGCAAATCTGTTCAGGGCCCCCTTTACCTTTTACATGAACTGCTTAACCGAAAAAGAGACTCCACCTGCAACCCCACCCGGTGGAGATTTTAACTTCACTTAAACCATCATAGGTGATTAAAGAGATTATCCCATTATGATTTAAAAAATAAAAAGAAAATTATTATTTGAGACTTGGGAGTTTGGCAGAGGCAGGGGCCCAATGGCAGGGGCAATAATAAAAGATGGGAAATTAGATGTGTTTAGGGTACCCTACAAAGATGGAGAATGGGGGAGCTAAGGGATTTGCTGCACTCCTTTCATGAAGCAGTTTGTGAAACGTTGCTTTCAACCCCTATCCAAACACAGGCAGAACCAAAAGTACACTAATTATTGAGTTTCAGGGAAAAATATGTGAAGAAATTTTCAAAATCTAAACATTTATTTTGATGTTTCGATTGTTAATTAGCACTACTGGTTTTCAACTATTACAGAAATTGATTGTTTAATTACAAATATATATGAGGTTTAAACTAGTACACAATAAAATAGAGCGACTTTTCGTTTAACAACAATATATTAATGTTTTCATGCAAGTTTTTATAGTCATTATTAAACGTCTGTTTTGTAGTCATTTTATTTCTTACAATAATTCATTAAAGACTGAAGTCCTAGATCCTTAAACTTTCAAGTCTTAATATGTGTTGTGTCTATGATTTAATATATATGAGGTTTTGACGGCTCTTTTTATAATTTTTTCCTCGTAAATAATAATTTATTTATAAATTAATGGGTTAAATCTCGGCATATACCCATGTCATTTTCTGTTCTCTTTATTTAGTGAAGGAATTATTTGTGGGCGTCCCGACAGCTGCCTATTTTTAGAGTGTGTTTGGTTCACGGAATGTAAGATTACCAGAGGGAATAAAAGATTACCAGGGAATAGGATTACTGGAAATGTTGTATTTTGTGTTTGGTTGGTTTAGCAGGAATGTAAGATTACCGTGTTTGGTTAAAAGAATAAAAGATTATTGGAATGTATATTTGACCAAATTATAATTATTATATATATTTTTTTAACAAGCTGGAAAATATTTATATATATTTTCTTTTAAAAATTTAAATTTATAAAATTTATATAATATTTTTACAAAATTGAAAATATAAAAAGGTTTAGTGAAAGGGTAAAATTTTATTTTAAACCTTGAACTTCATATAAAATTTTAATTATAGATTTTTTTGTAAATCTAAAATAGTTTAAGGATAAATTTGTAATTTAACATTCGTAGAATTTTTATTATTCAATGACAGAATAATGATATTTTTGAAAGAAATTTTTTTAAGGGCATTTTAGTCCAAAACGCCGGTAATCCAACAATACCTAAGGAAAGGGAGGTAATGACATTCCCGGTAATATACCCAAAAAAATCCACTATTGGTAATGTAAGATTACCGGAAATGGCATTCCCTGTTGATGCAGGGAGATCCGAGACAGATGATGCTGAGTTGTTAGACTGCACCTTGATGGCGCTGAGATACCATGATTGCTTATTTTATTTCGAATTTCAATTTAGAGTGATTTTCGAGATTTTGCTATTTTTGGCAAAATTCGAATAAAGACGATTTTTGGCTATAACAGTCCGACTTGTGGACTGATTTTGGGGATTGTTTGATTTTATAATATTTTATTAAACATTAGAGACTTTTTTTCTCTGGTTTTTTTTGGTGAATTTTCTCTTGTGAATCATCTGTTGGAACGCCTGCAGGATAATCACTATTTTTGTCTGGCGTCACCTGTCAACCAAACGAGAAAATATGGATTTCATTCTCATGAAATCTCGCATTTCCCCAACCAAACACACTCTTAAAGTTTTCTTTTTTCGTCAGCAGAAAATATCTATAACTTTGTTACCACCTCTTTATCATCCTTTTCTGTCTATGGAATTGAAATAATTAAAAAAATGCAATGCTTAATAATTAATGATGTCCGTATATCATACAACAGACGAAGTGAATTATTATAACATAGAATAGATTTCTTCCCACTCTCTGAAGAGTCTACAATTAATTCGTAGTAAAGTTTGAATTTTACGAGCAAATGGTGTGAATGAGGTTAGTCTACCATAGACATTCACGTGCTGCCTAATTACCATTATGATTGATTCCTTTCGTCATCCATGTAGGGTTTCCACTTTCCACAATGAAAGCAACTCATTCCTACTTTATTATATACGCACGAGTGACGTGAGACATACAGCATTTAGCTCATATGGTTTTTTTTTTTACTCATCGATTATCATTTAAAATTTTACCGAAGTAAGGTTTAAGTATTCTGCGTCAGAAGAAATTCCTATTTTGTGAATACAGTGTCTCATCATTCATAAAAACACACGTTGAGATGGATACAGAATACGTGTGTGTGTATATATAAAAAGTGTGAGAGGACCCACAAATAATTTCCTGGAAATTGCAAGGAGACTTGGGAATGATTTAAAGCTGAAAGGTAAGCAACCCGATGGTTACAAAGGAAACATGCACATAATTTCCATGAATAAAACAAACATAAGATGTCAACACAACAAAGTGCCAGGTTTCATCTCCCCCTCAGATCACATTTACAACTTGAGCATGCTTCCTTTTGTCTACCTATTCCAATTTTAAACTAAACCGATAGAAATTGATAATTCATTCTGTATAATTCCAATGTTGAAATAGGGGTCATATCGGAAATGTTTTGCGTTGAGCAACATGGTTGGGACGGATCAAATCATATATCAAATGTAAAATTTGCAAACCAATACTGGTATTTTGTCTGGAGTAGACCCCTACCCAATGGGACCCCCTTCTTAGGCCACAAATGCATAATCATAATGCTGACTGATTTTGATGTTGTTAAGAGAAAAATTACAAACATGAGATTCATTTTATTCATCATAACTTTGCTTTAGTACGGCCAGCCTCCATTGAGGAGACAATCCAATTGATTGCTTAGCTTGGGATCTCCTCCTACCTTGTCCCTTGGATCCCTCTCTCAACTTTCTATTTTCCCAGAAAATTCATACCACGCCCTTACCGGTTGCTTTTTTTTTTCTTTCTTTCTTTACATATCTGACCGTACACAGCATTTTCCGGCCGGGAATATTCCAGTACCATACAGAAAAGAGGACGATCACAATCCCATATTGCAAAAGGTAAATCTGGGAATTATCATGAACATTGCAAATTGCAATTTCAGTTACATATAATGTATTAGAAATTTAGGAATATATATATATAATTTCCGACGAAAAATATGTATTACATGCTCCATTGGTCCAAGTCGTCGATGCTCATAGTATAATCAAACACCAACTAATATTCTTGATATAAAACATTGAAATTTCAAAACGAAAAAGTTAACAGCACTAGGGAGATTCAACTTGTTAATCACAAGGCGAATTCTTTGACTTGTTTCAAATCTCCATTGTATGTTCAATGGAATCTCACTTATTATCAGTACTAATCACCCACTTGAGAAAAAAAACGAGCTTGGTGACGACCATGAAGACGCCGTTGCATTATATGGTCTTTGCCTAAAATAATCCAATGACATTCGTGGAGGAGAAACTGCCACTGTTACTGATGAGGAGGACTGAACTCCAGAATCCGGCAGTGGTACTGGTGACCCTATTAATATAACCAAAATAAAACAGCACATGTAACGCCAACAAGTAACCTAAAAAAAAAGTATCTTTACAAAGTGAATCTTTCTGAAAAGGATTGTACTCGGGTGGTTATCAGAGGAATTGCGGCAATTTTCAAACTTCACGTGGTTTTCTTTATTATTGGGTTGATGTTGTTGCTGCTGTTGACATTTTCGCCTTCGACGATTATGATCGGCTAATCTCTTCCGGCAGCTACGTTTTCCATTGTCGAACTCTGATAGAAGATGGAATCTGTACGAAACAACCAACGTTAATGAAGCTAAGCATTGATTGCGGTTATTATTAGGCTTAGCTGTTTCTATACCAACGACAATCTTTACTCTGATAATATAATTGTTGGGGCACTATGGTCAGCTCAATCATCATCCATAAAATAACATGAGATATAAACACTACAAGCAGAAACAAATGATGAGTCCACGAAAACTGGAACCAGTACAATGTTAAAATATGAATGCATGCGAATGGTGTTTCTGTATTCTAGCACAATTAAATGTAATGTTTCAGCTAATACACAACAACGATAAAATCCTACCCTAATAAGTAGCACAGAAAACGGTACGTAAATGGAAAGAACACGTAGCTTTTACGGACACATATACCCTCGGGATCACCCCATGTACGGGTAGCCAATCATGGCCTTCACAGACATCTACAAGGGTACTTATGTCATTCCAATCACCATCACTATTCACTATTGATTATTACTAGTTCAAAAATGGGAAGTGGCATTTTGGTAAAATTTCCCAACCTGCTGCACTGCTGGCAGAATCGTTGAGTCAAGCCGGCGGCGATGACGGTGGAGGCCTTTGAATGGAACTCGCAGACTTTATGTCGGCGATGATAGTGCTTAGCATTGCTAAGATCGGCATTGCAACCCTCGGCTTGGCATCTAGGGGAGTTGGTCGAACTGGGATCTCCCGGTCTAGACCTGCGATAAAGCCGGTTCACAAAGTCATCCTCAGCAGAGGAAAAATACGTACGGCCACCTAAGTTGAGACCAATCCTTGGTGTAAAGTCGACAGCTCTGGGCACTTGCTCAGTCTTGGGAACCAGAAAATAACCGCCTTCACTCCCTCCGGTGCCGGAAACAGGATCCAGGGAGAGCAAAGAAGAGTGGGGTGCAGAGTAAACAGACGTGCCGGAGTAGGTGCGTGGGTCGTACAGGGAGTGTAGATAGGTGTGGGGCTGGGAATGAGTATTATGATGAGTTTGATCTTGGTTAGGGTTATGGAAAGGGTTTTGGTGACCAAAAACAGCGTTTTGCTGGTGGGAAAAGAGAGTTTCGTTGAAAGATTGCTGCTGGGTCGCGGCGTTGGTAGCATAGTGATCGAAAATCTGACGATTTGGGTCGGGTTCCTGGTTAGGGTCTTCACCTGATAATATTATCGCTGTGGGATTTCCCCATTCATAATCCAACATTTTTGTCCGAGTTTGCAAAGATAAAAAACAACCCTTTGTCTTCCCTTGTTCCGGCGAGGTTAAGGGAACGTTTTGTTTGTCGGTACGATTGCAACTAATGGTCTGTCAACAACAAAGAATAAAAATGAAAAGATGGAAATGTGTCAGCTTATATATACACAATAGATGATTCAAAAGAAAAAAGAAGAGATAAAAAAGTGGTTTTGGGGATTTAAAAGGTTGGGTTTTTATAAAGAGTTCCATGAGGAGAGGGGATATGTCGGCGTTGAAGGTGGTTATAGAGATAACCTTGCCGTGTTACAAGCAGTGGGTGGAATTTTCGGAAACCTACCTCAACTTGTTATTCCCAAGGATGGAGTTCTACAGTTGAGCTCTCGACTGCTTTTTCGGAAACGTTCATGAGGCCCCCTCTCTACTGTTTTAAAGCTCGCTCATTTTCTTTTAGTGTTGAGCTTACAGCACATTGTTTTAAAATACCAACTATCTCTCTCTCTCTCCGTCTGTTTGTCTCTAAAAAGCCAAGTTTGGTTTAGCCCTTTCTGTCTCTCTCTTTCTCTACAGTCAGTATGCAAGAACCTGGGTAATTAGGCGGCTTGTGCAGAGGGGATTGATGAGTTTGTGGAGAGGAAATTACGGTTTAACCCAGACGATGGTGATGGGTGGGGGCACAATGAAATTCAGTGTAAAAAGGTTGGGAAATGGGGTTGGCTTTGGCTTAATCCGTAGTGATTTCCTTTCCTAGTCCAACTAGTTAGGAAATTCAGTCTGAATACAGTAATGCTAATGACCGTGTGTGTTGTCAGCTTCCTTTCCTGCTGTGTAATGCCAAGAGATGCTAATTAAAACTGAATGGTCCCACTTACCTCTGTCTGTTTGATCAATTGCCCAGAAAAATTATCATCATTCCTACTCTTTCTACTTGTTCGGTTAATCTCTATCGGTATCAATATTTTTTTTTAAATTTAAAACAAAATGCAGACGAACCAACAGCTGGAATGTAATTAGTTTGATATCTGTGGAATTTAAACAAGTGTTTTCCTTTTTGCTTTTACCTTGGACGTGAGCACAAAGGAACAAATGGACGAGGATTTGGATCAATACTTGTATTTTATTATCGGTGATGGGACTTCTATGTTTAACGGCTTCTTTCACTTTGTGGTATGAGACAAGAAACGAAAATGATTTGTATTCTAGGTATAATTTTAGATTAAGGTCCTAATCTAATTAACAGTCGTATCATAATGATATTAAAACTTAAAAAGTTATTAATACAACACTAAAGAAATCACATCATGACTTTTGCAATCTTAAATTGTTACGTAATATTACAATAAATTACACTGTAACATACTTTTAACTTGTTTGAAACATGATATCACCTAAGAAGAAAAGCATTGGCATATTGTGGTTAGCTAATATCTAGGATGTCAAGTGAGAGGAGATGGATGTTGGTTCATACAAATATAGGAACACCACTTCTTATGTTCATTGAAACGAGGAAAACGACCGCTCAAAATATTGTTTGAACTCAAACATGTTAGAAGACATCTTTGTCGATGGAGCTGTGGTTTAAACTTTTAAAACCCATCGTCCCTTAATTCTCTATTAATCGCCACTTTAGGGCTTCCCCGCCCATTTACTGGGAAAAATGATTTTTCCATATAAGATATTCACCATATTATTTCCTGAACTAGAATCCTTGCTACAGTGTCAACATAAAGACGCCAGAATTACCATGTGATTTCATTTTTTTCAGTTGCGTCTTTAGTTTTGTAGAGATACAAAAAAAATGGTGAAGACACGCTGCATTCCTAGGATCTCCAGAAGTCGAGTGGGACACCAGGCGTCTTCACCTAGCTACAGTAGCATTCACTCTATCTTGAAAAATAATTCTGGTATTGGATTATTTTGGGAATTCTTCTTCCTTGGAGGACTATCTCAGCCATTTTGCCTCACTTTAGTGTGCCTAAATTCGTAATGTACGGAACCCTATCGTCTAATCAATTGAAAGTGGTTGAATGAGGGATAGATACAGCATTTGTTGTAAGAGGCCGGGAGCTTTTCGCATACTTAATGATTCTTGCCATGTATCATGTCACGTAAACGTCATTCTGATGCTTTCCTTTAGCTTTTTTAAATTCCCCTTTCTTTCTCTGCCTTCAAACCCCACTTGTTCTTTATTAACTTCAGCGTCGATTAATATTCGTCTGATTACACAACTTCGTCTGAAAACTACACTAAAGTATGTTCTAAATATGCATTTGTTTTAAATGTAATGAAGGCGAAGATTCAGCTGTATAAGATAAAAAGAAGGCCAACAGTAAGCATAAAACCCAAGTACATAACTACCCGTCAGGCGCACCCATTAACAAAAATACTCAGAATGATTGCTGCAAATTTGCAATGCAAAAGGATTAGAGACGGTGAAGAAAATAAAAATAGAAAATAAAAAGAATTAATGCGGAGAGAGGGGGGAGATAACAGTCCAAAAGGAAGAGTACAATGATCATCTGGCAGCATTTGGTGAAAGCCTGACATAGACGTTGACTCTTTTGTACGGAATTCCAGAGAACTTTTTTATTATTATATTAATTCTGTTTATGAGTTGAATATGAAAAAATTAGCTGATCCTATTCTCATATATAATGGGGTGAAGGTAGGTAATATAGTAGGTTACCCCTAACGTCAGGTTGAGAGTAACTTCCGTGGAAGACCTCTGACAGTCATAATTATGAATTGTCTACCGTGAGACTCGATCTCACGACCATAAAATTAAAAACCTTACGCTCTCCCAACTGAGTTGGAGTGACAATTCTTTTGGATACCTCAAACCTCAGTTAATTAAAAAAGCTGCATGCAAGCAACTGCCACTTAAGATTAAAGTGGTTGTTAATGGGTTTGGAGTTTTCAAATTAAATTTAAGATTAAAATAACGTGAATTTATTTAAAAATTCTAATAGTTTGTAATTTCGAATATAGTTAAAATTCATTAAAAAAAAGTAACAAATGGGTGGCATAGTCTTTGGTTTGACAAGTGACATCTCTTCAACTACCAACCCAGCTAGCAAACAGAAGATACAAAACGACAACAATAATGCAAATATATGAATCATGGTAGTACTCGATATGATTAAGTTAAGCACGTTGTTATTCGATTAATCATAAAACGAATATTCAGTCTCTGATCAACAAAACCAGCTTCTATATAAGTAGCAATGTTGAGTCCAAAAGAGTACCTTTCCTTGGTTTAATTGCATCACCCAGATCTCAACAAATCTGAAACAATGCAGAAGAGCATAGTTGAAAAAAGAGGCATAGACAAGAAGATGATGGTTGGGGTAAAACGCAACCACTTTTTTTGTTTTTGTTGGTGGTGGGCTGGGCAAGGACCACATGAACACAACAACATTGTTCAAGTTACGAAACTTCACAAGCTTATATCCGAATGCACCCTCATCACTATAATAACAAGGCATGGAACCAGGAGCTATTAGCCACCACCAAATTACAACACCCACCTAATGATATCAAATCTTCCATTCATACTAGTTCCAAATTCAATCCTTTTTTTTAACTTGTCAAAAAGGAATATTTCCCTCCACCATATTCCTTGTCTACTACCATTCGCAAAGATAAAAAGGAATCCTTCGCCTATAATTTCCAAACTCAGTTATATTTGGGAATAACCGTTTTGGATTTCAATTGCTTTTTTCTATTCGAGTGAATGGTCTTAATGTAGATCTGCTTAGCCCAGACACATGCTCAATAAACCAAAATATCCAACTAACAATTGACCATTGTCCTTCATCACATGTAACTGGGTAAGAGTAACTATTAATGCTGGGCTGAATCCGTCACAATACACTCCCATGTTCCCTGAATTAAAGACCCAAAACTATCTAATTCCGTTAAAGAATGTAGAGGAAGCATAGTTAATGGTGATATATATATATATGTATCAGATTGAGCAACTACCTTAGGAGTCCCAAGACCCCAATTGGTGGGAGCATGGTTGACATTTGAGTAATTAGTTGACAAGTGATTGCCCCATATGATTTCGATCTTCACCTTACTCGCATGAATCTTTAGCCTCTCACAGAGTTGGCCTAGTGCTCTGGATCGAAGGTGCAAATTCTTTCAAGATAAGGGCATTGGTATTTACTGGATTGGCAACAACTAGCACCCGCTTGGAAAACGCAAACACGATAAAAGGAAGCAACATATATGTTCGAGTTTGTGATAGAAATCCCATTCAAAAAGTTTGTTAGTAACCCATTTGATGAAAAAACAAAATTAAGTGGAGACTCTTGTTATAATATATTGGATATATTTCCACCCGATGATCCAAAGACAGCCCAGCTTCAGCTTATATGGGAATTTATTGCTTATATATGCTTACATAATATGCCTTCATGGAGTTTGAGGGAAATTCATGTATTTATTAAAAGAAGATAACATGTAAATGATCTTCTCGTGTTATTCTTTCAGCACCATTTAATTAAGTGCATGTCTACACTTTAGGTGCAAAAGATCAACTACTATTGGTCCATTGCCCAAAATGACTAGATAACACCTCTGTATTGAAACTGTAGTGTAAAAGAGCATTAAAAGATTATTGCGTAGAGAAAAGACTGGCAGAATGGAGCGAAATAGAGGGAGAAGAGTTTATCGGGTCGGTTTCTAACCTGGATCACAAGAATGTACCCATCCTCTTCAGCTCCTTTGGGGACAAAAATAGGCTCACAAATGAATCTACGAGCCCCTGCAGACCATGTACTGGCTCACAAATTCAGCTTCACTACCATATCAAATGGAAAATGGGAAAATGCTTGCCTTGTACCTGATGAAGTTGATGCATAAATGTATGCATTCTTTTTGCCTGAAAACTCTAGCTTTATAACGGGCAAAACCCGAATGCTTGTTCCATTCATTCAAGTTCTCCATTAAAAATTCTTGGCAGTTGCCATTAGAGTCCAGGTTTTTTGACACCTGAACAAGGTGAGGTACTAACAGTTCATCACCTTGTTTTACATTCATTTTTGAGGGATCTAGTGGACCACTTTTCCAATTATATCCTATCAAAATACCAGTATATAACATGCTTCAGTATTATGTAAGACTTGAAAGTATTGTCCATAACTTCTGGGGGGGGGGGGACACACACTTGCACAAATAAATTTTGGAAATTGAACTTTGATAGAAAGAAGCAAAAGCTTGGATTTGAATCTCTGAATTACAATCAATTCCTTGACATCAAAGGCGTTGCCAACATGCAGCAGCCACTTCCGAGACGGAGCTTAATTCGACTGGCACTATCCAATCTCGCTGATTTATCGGCTTGAAAGCAGGTAAATGGGAGATGTGGACTTGCTTTGGGTTCACTGACAATGCGGAGATCATTGGTGATAACCCAGATACTGCTGTCATTG